TTTAAGTAGCACCCTCAGTGATTTGATTCTGGAGTCGGGCCTGATTACATGTAATCTGGATTACGTAATCAGACTCCAAACATTAAGTACTCGTAATTAGATTACATTACAGTAGATTACATTTTAAAATGCTCATAATCAGATTACAGTTACTTTTTTAGTGGATTACATGATAAGGTGACCAGAAGTGCCACTTCCAGGGGACACGTTCGGCACAGGATTTCTGAATTGTCTAAAGTAACCAGGTGTTGGTTGTTTGCGCTGCGCTGACTGATCATTGTATGACATCAAAGTACCGCGAGAGCTATAGAGAGCAGAGCAGTCGACTCCATGCTTTCAAATCGCTCTCGCAGTACTTTGATGTCATACAACCATAGATCGGCGCAGCGCAAACAACCAACACCTGGTAAAAAAGCAACCTAAAAGTAATCTAAAAAAGTAGTCAGATTACATTACCTAAGATGAGTACCCTACATTAAGTTACTAACTAGAATTTTCGTCATGTTATTTATAATCAGTAACAGACTACAATTTGTAAGTAATCTACCCTGCACTGAATATTTCAAGTTTGTACAGCTCTAGTCACGTGACCCGAACACTAGGTCTAAAGATTTATGTATATAAATTGCATATTAAATTTCCATCCATTTGGATTACAGTTTTAACATTAACTAATAAACTCAATATCAAGTTCAAGGTCAAGATATGAACTTGTTGAATAATATGCGTTGAATAATATATCGCTTGAAGAACCTTTTGAAGCACCTTTATTTTTAAGAGTGTACACTAAAAAAATGGTGTAGAAACAATTTTTGCTCAGAAACGGCTAGTAAGTTTCACAATTAATTAAAGAAACGGCAAGTAACACATTGAATTAAACGTGAAATGTTGAAGTAAAAAACCTGAAATAGTATTTTCTTGCAAAACCTACTCCAATAATGTTTTAAAGTTTTATTTACAACATTTTATTTGCAGTGTATTTGTCAAAATACTGGCGTAGTTAACTATTCTATTCATTTTTTTATTTAAATAATATTCTCAAAAGGCATTTATTCAAATTGCTTAGAATCAGCAAATTTCCTACTGTAAATATATCAAAACCAATTTTTGTTTATTAATATGCATTGCTAAGGACTTAATTTAGACAGTTTTAAAGGCGATTTTCAACATTTTTTTTTTTTTTTGCACCCTCAGATTCCTGATTTTTTTGTTTATAGTTGTATCTCAGACAAATATTGTCTTATCCTAACAAACCATACATCAATGGAACGATTATTTATTCAGCTTTCAAATGATGTATAAATATCAATTTAAAAAAATTGACCCTTATGACTGGTTTTGTGGTCCAGAGTCGCAAATAACTAATGATCACATTCAAGTCTGGAGCTTCAGGTCTAGTCATAGTTTTTTTATTCTTGCTGTTTGGATCTAAACGTCAAACACTTGATTTCAGTACATGAACGGGCCGCCGCTGGGAGAAGAGCAGCCACCGTTACCTAAAGATTACCTGGTTGAGTCTCTGCTGGTGACCATCTTCTGCTGCCTCATGAGCGGCCTCGTCGCTGTCATGTACTCGTATGAAGTGAGCACCTGAAACACAGTGCATTAGTACAAATACACGTGCATACAAATCTTAGAGTGACACTGATTAATGATGAGCTCTGACCTCTCTACAGACCCGCGCGGCGCTGACCAGGGGTGACATCCGTGAAGCGGAGAAAACGTCCCAGAAGGCTCGTCTGCTTGTCATGTTCAGTTTGATGTTCGGCATATTTGTTTTTGTGGGCTGGATTATTTATGAAGTGATAGTGCTCTGTGCATAGAAACTTTCTCATGCTTTCCAAGGCTGCATTTATTTGATCAAAAAATTCTGTAAAAACAGTTAAATATTATTACAATTTAAAGTAACTGTTTTCAATTTGAATATATTGTCAAATGTAATTTATTTCTGCGATCAAAGCTGAATATTAAGCATCATTACTCCAGTCTTCAGTGTCACATGATCCTTCAGAAATCATTCTAATGCGGATTTGCTGCTCAAAAAACATTTATGATTATTATTCATGTTGAAAACAGTTGTGCTGTTTTCCAGTATTTTTGTGGAAACTGTGATACATTTTATGATACTTTTGATGAATAGAAAGTTGAAAAGAACAGCATTTATTTGAAATAGAAATCTTTCAACATTATAAATGTCTTTACTGTCACTTTTGATCAATTTAATGCATCCCTGCTAAATAAAATTACTAATTTCTGTCAAAAAATGTACTCTTACTCACCCCAAACCTTTAAAGGGGTCATATGATGCTGCTAAAAAGAACATTATTTGGTGTATTTGGTGTAATGAAATGTGTTTATGCAGTTTAAGGTTAAAAAAGACTTACATTATTTTCCACATACTATACATTATTGTTTCTCCTCTATGCCCCCGCCTTTCTGAAACGCGTCGATTTTTACAAAGCTCATCGTTCTGAAAAGGATAGTGTGCTCTGATCAGCTCTAGGCATGACGAAGCAGATATCGTCGTCTTTTGGAAAAAAAACACATTATTTTCCACATACTGTACATTATTGTTTCTCCTCTATGCCCCCGCCTTTCTGAAACGCGTCGATTTTTACAAAGCTCATCGTTCTGAAAAGGATAGTGTGCTCTGATCAGCTCTAGGCATGACGAAGCAGATATCGTCGTCTTTTGGAAGGCCAAACAAAGTAGTTTCTCTTTCACAACAAAACACACAGCGCCTTCATGACATGGCGGCAACATCAACAATACTACAGCGAGAATAAAAGTTACGCCTTCTTTCTTTGCGTGCACATTTGGGCGGCGTTATGCAAATCTTCCCACATCGTGACGTAGACATGTGGGGGCGTGTTAGAACGAGCCGCTTTAGGTAGGCGTGGTTGACTCTTAACTTTTATAAAGAATATCTCTTTGGATTTGAGACTTTAGTCTTTGCAACTTTACAGATCTTCTTTATGCACCAAGAGCTTGTAACACTCCAAAGAGAAAGGAAAAATTGAAATCTCATCATATGACCCCTTTAAACGGTAGTGCAATTGCTGGGAAGAAACTAATTTTTATTTTTTTATTGCACTGAAATGTTGTTTGAAGGTGCACCATCACTTCTTTTTCTTTATTATTTTAAAATGCAGTAAATAGTAGTAATAAAGTCATGAAACTCACACACAAATGGATGTATGGGAAATATACCAGTCGAAACATCATTCAAACATTTGACTGTTTGTGTACAATATGCTGCAAATGCAGACAGAACTGAAACTCCTGTATAGCAGTGAAAGTGACTCATATGAAAAGCACAAAGTGTGAGATTCAAACATTAATGTCTTACATTTTAAACAGGTTCGCCCCTGATTTTATTGCATCATGTTCTATGATATGTACTTTCAGAAGATAATCATCGATAGAGTTTGTATTTACATTTAATTACATTCATTTGTTCCTGGAATAGGAACTGAAAGGCCTTTTCCTGTCACTGGTAATAAACCTTGTATTTTTGTTGACTTAGTTACGTAAAAATTACCATCATCTATGACTGCGAACAAACTGAATTAAATGTACAGTCTAAATGTTTATAAGAAGCACTATTGCGTGAAACCTAATGTATTTATGTTGCACTGAATAAAAAGTGCAACATAAATACATTTTGTAAATACATAAATACATAAACCCATATTTATGTTGCACTGAATAAAAAGTAACCCAAAAACGACAACACTATTTATGTGTTTAAATGATCAGTGAAGACCTTGAAAACAATATATAGCAATAAAATGGCTTTTATTACATTACTAAGCTTGATTCTCTCCACATGGCTTGGAGAGTCGCCATTAAATACAATGAAGAGCAAAAGAGAGCTGGAAAAACAAGAAATGACCAACAGAGAGCGTCATAAACAAGAGCTTCCTCTCAGAAGAAAAGAAATGACCATGTTGGCTTAAATGGGTTCATTTCTTCATGAATTCATTTTGGCCATTATATATACATAATCCATAATGATTTACAATAAAGTTAAAAGAATAAAAACAGAAGTAAAATAAAACATTAAACATTAAATACTGTACACTGAACAAAATATCTAAATAAGGTTTAGCTGCACTTTGACACTAATAAAATAAATAAAGATTAAGTAAGCTATGAAGCCAAACTCTAAACCTAAAAAAGGTCTAAAATTAATTTAAAATAAATATATTAATAGGTGTCACACAATACAGGTTGTGCAGTGCAGTTTATTATGGCATAAATAAATCAAGTATGGTTTACATCAACACACATCGAGCAACCTTGGGTTTCAGAAATGATTTATAAATAAATAAAATTGTATTGATGTTATTACAATTATAAAGTACATCAGTCAGAATAGTTGGAGAGGTGATGAAACTCATGCATTGCTCTACAGCTGCAGTGATCTCAAGTACTTCTACTGAGCCGGACACAAAACAGAGCAAAACACATTTAAATCAGTAGATGAGACTAAAGTAATAGTTCAGGAAAAAATTAAAGTTTGCTAAAAACTTCTGAGATAAAGATGAGTTTGTTTCTTCATCAAATTTGGAGAAATGTAGCATTGCATCACTTGCTCACCAATGGATGCTCTGCAGTGAATGGGTGCCGTCAGAATGAGAGTCCAAACAGCTGATAAAAACATCACAATAATCCACAAGTAATCCACACCACTCCAGTCCATCAGGTAACATCTTGTGAAGACAAAAGCTGCATGTTTGTAAGAAACAAATCCATCAAGACTTATATATTTTTGCTTAATAATAATAAAAAGTGGTCTGGTCTGAATCAGGAGAGAAATCTGCACAGATCAAGGACTGTTTACTAGCCAAGACAGTCCAAAACAGCTCTAATACATGGGTGGACTGCAGAGCATCCATTGCTGAGAAAGTGATAGAATGCAACATTTCTCCAGATCTGATGAAGAAACACATCTATGAGTTTGATGAAGAAACTCATCTACATTTTGGATGGCCTGAGAGTGAGGAAATTATCTGCAAATCTTCCATTTTTGGGTGAATTATTCCTTTAAAAGAACAATATAATGTGGCAACAGCACATTTCAGAACAATAATAGTTACAGTAAAACTCTGTAAATCATTTCAAAATGGGCCTTAAGATGAAGATACTTCATATGATTGCCTAATTAAAGGAGATTTCAAAATAATTCTAACTTAAGTGGCACTTAAAGCAGAGCAACTGTAAATTTTCTGAGCATGAGCAGGTATTATTGCACTGTCAAGTTCCTCATGCAAGAAAAACAAGTTTTATGAAGACTTTAAGGCTGGCGATCAACATTCATATTCTGATCTCTATCACATGGTCACTCCACGGAATATTTTTAACAGTGGTGCTATTGTAGACATTATTAGCTGTAGCTCATTACATTACATCTGTCCGCATGAGATGCAGTTAAGGCCGTGTTTAATTTAGGCTTACGGAGGTCTGCTAGAAAACAAAGTTGCCAAACAGTGCAAATATGTTAGTGCTTAGACGGTGTAGATGACCTTTGTACATTAAATATTGAGCTTATATTTGTCATCAGCTTTCAGGACAAGCTGAATCAAGATTTTTAATTGTATACTGAAGGCAGGAAAGTCATTCTGACTGACCACAGGACAGTTTTTAGTGAAGAAAAAGCTACATGCATACATACATGTGCTCACAATGAGTGGATGTTTCAGGCATTTGTGAATTAATTATTAGTTCTGAGATTTGTTTTGCACTGGTGAGTATTTGTGTGATTTTGTGATTTCAAAAAATGTTATGTTCTATGAATTATAATCCTGACTAATCCCACTATTTATTAATTTATAAGGGTTTAATGTTTAGTATTAAAAAGTGATGAGATCACTCCTCCAAAATAATTTTAATAATGGCAGAGACTTGAACATCTTAAATATTAAAATTAAACAGAACAATTAAGCCCCAGTCAATCAGTATCCCATTGACATGCATGTAAACACACAATAGTTTGCTTTTCGGTAAAGAGATGTATGCATGGGTTGATCTCATAAGTGTCCATGATTCCGTTTGCTCATTGCTGGGTGTTAAAACTGGAAACTGTGTGCATGTGTGCGTGTCTCGCCTCTTTAGCTCAACAGCTCCAGATATGTAACAGGCACCTTCCCCTTCTGGTTTCCTCGCTCTCCAATCAGCCAATCAGAGTCCATTCCAGGCACTGTGTACACGGTGATAAGCTGATCGTCCAATCAGATAAGTGTAATTAATTAATTTGGAGTCTTTAGGATGCTTTTCAAGCAAACACATATAGCAAACATTCTAAATATTCAAACGAAATGGCTTAAAAGCAATCATCTGTTCAACCTAACTTTCACTGTAGTCAAATATATTCAAAATGTTTCATCCAAGAACCAAAACGCATTAAAAATCTAGTTTGTGAATGTTTTCGTCACTGTTCGCCACTACATTTACAATGTTTAATTACACATTGCTAGCAAAATCATTGTCAATATACTTGAATATTCAAGAGAAATTTAAACTAGCCAAAGTCAACTATAATTCTTTAAACCATCATGAAAAACCATTCACAATTCATTTAATTTTAACATTAAAGTGACATATGATGAACATTAAAATTAATGTGGTATTTTCAAGTGGAACAGAATATTCAGTGAGAAATAATTCATGGCGGGACTTCATTTTATTCATAACTTGAACGGATCAAGAAAAGTTGGCTATGATGAAGTAAATAGATGCTTATTATTGGAAAAAGGTTAAATATTCAAAAATATTCAAATGAAATGGTTTAAAAAAACTATCAATTCAACTAAACTGTCACTACAGCCAAATATATTTTAAAACATTTAATGCAAAATGCATTAAAAATCAAATTTAAAAATACCATGGTATGTTTTCTTCATTATTTTTCACTATTTTCACAATAATTCCTTTTTAATTACCAGCAAAATCGTTGTAAATATACTTGAATATTCAAAACATCACCCATTTTTACTAAAAAATTAATAAAATAAACTAGCCTAAATCAACTTATTATCCATTAAATTGTCATGAAAGACTCATTAAAATGTGATATTAAATGTGACATGATAAACATTAATTGTAATTAGAATTAAAGTGTCATTTTCAAGTGAAACAGAATATTAGGTAAGAATTAATGACGGGGCTTAATTTTATCCATCACAATTTGATTGGATAAAAAAAAAAGGCCTAAAATTAAGTAAATAATGGTTTTAATAGCAAACATTTTAAATATTCAGAAAAAAATGTCCAAAACGAATCCCTTCAACCAAACTGCCATTATAGCCAAATATATAAAAAATGTTTAATGCAAGAACCAAAACACATTAAAGTGGAAATGAAGCAGTCAGTCAAGTTTACATTATTTAGTAAAGTGATTTCCACTTTGATTAAAAAATATATAACAAACATGATTAATGTAACCATTTTAAAGAAAAAAAGGTTGTTTTGTTATAGCTTTTAGAGCAAGGGCGCCGCCATCTTGCAGTACCACCGCATGTGACGTCACGGGGTTGGTTCGCTCCGATGGCCAGTGAAGTAATAGAAGCATTTCTTTACATTTTGAACACACGCTTGTTTTGAAATGGAGGAAGATTACATTGAAAGCACTGTTAAGTCCATAATAAGTGCAATTGCCTATGCATTTGAGCCGATACGGCGATGGGACCCGAGCAGTATTAGGGGTTGAAGAAACCGCATCGGTAAAATGCGGATCGGAAACAATACTCGTTTACGTGGATACTCCTCAAGACTTTTAATATTTAAACTGACAAGGCTTAAAACACGTGAGAATGATAAACTTTATTGAGGAAGCAGCACTGGTCCGATTGTTCAGATAACGTTAGGTGATTAGTTAAACACTACATCCTAGCAGGAAAGCTAATTGTATTCGCAGGTGAACATAAAATATGATACATACAACTGGTGAACCAGTCAATGTAATGCATATGTCTTAATGGTCTGACATAACAATAAAATGCGACATGAATGATGAAGCGTTGTCTGTTTACATCACCTTGCGCCTGGCATTATGAAAACAATGTTTGGGATACCACGATCAAAACTTAGCATATAGACAGTTTGATGTTGAATATTCATCCAAATTATGGTGAAAACCAAATTATTTGTGTGTTAAATTAACATTCGTGTGTTCAAAATGTAAAGAAATGCTTCTATTACTTCACTGGCCATCGGAGCGAACCAACCCCGTGACGTCACACGCGATGGTACTGCAAGATGGTGGCGCCCTTGCTCTAAAAGCTATAACAAAACATCCTTTTTTCTTTAAAATGGTTACATTAATCATGTTTGTTATATATTTTTTAATCAAAGAGGAAATTACTTTACTAAATAATGTTAACTTAACTGACTGCTTCACTTCCACTTTAAAAATCTACTTAAAAATATCATGGTATGTTTTCCTCAATGTTCCTTACTATTTTCACAATGTTTAATTTCACATTACCAGCAAACTCATTGTAAATATATTTGAATATTCAATATATCACCCATTTCTACTCTAAAAAGTAAATAAATAAATAAACTACCCAATATCAACTTATAATGCATTAAATCATCATGATAAAACTTTCACAATTCCTTTCATTTTAACATAAATGTGACATATAATAAACAATAATTTTAATTTAAATTAATGTGGAGTTTTCAAGAGAAACAGAATATTCCATAAGAAATCATTTAGGATGGGGACTTAATTTTATCCATCACAATTTGATTGGATCATGAAATGTAGGCTCGGATATTATGCAATAATATATTTCACAGCCCCTAACTGTGCGTTCACACCGCCGCCGTCGAGAGCGTCAATCTGGAATCCTCTCAAGCGGTGGACTTCTACGTTCCGATTGGTTGCCGCCAGATGCCGCCGAACCGTGTCATAGCTCATTACCATAAAGTTGACCTGATTTCAACTCTCCTCGACGCCCTCAACATCCAAGTCGCGCCGCGCCGCTGCTCGACGCTGCTTGACGCCGGCTCACATTGAAAATTAATGACTTCCGGCCACTTTGACGCTCTCGACGGCGGCGGTGTGAACGCACAGTAACACCCCCTATTAGACCCATATCAGACTGTTTATCTTCCATCAAACATCTGCTCACCTCATCGGCCCACAACGAGAGCTCACTGGAGTCTGCAGCATCGTAGTCATACAGCACTTTGGCCTTGCGTGTGCCGCTGGCTGGCGGCTGAACTTCTTCAATCTGCAGAGCGTCTGTTTCCAGAGGAGACGCAGAGTTCAGCGGCAGGAAGGCAGACCGGTCCGTGGGGCTTCTGGCGGGGTGGGAATTCACATCCAAAGAGTCGGGGCATCTTCTGAAAGAGAGAAGATTGATAGAGGACACTATTAGGGCTCTGCTGACTAGTGTGAACACTAACAAGACGACAAACTCAAAACTCACATGTCTCCACTGCAACTGTGAGCAGACGGGTGGGAAAAGTAAAACAGGTGTTTATAATAATGACTGTGATGTCATGATCTACAAATCAAATATTTAAAAGGAATAGTTCACTGAAAAATTAATATTTGCTGGTCATGTGCTCGCTCTCAGGTCATCTGAGATGTAGCCGAGTTTGTTTCTTCATCAGATTTGGAGAAATGTAGCATTGCATCACTTGTTCACCAATGGATCCTCTGCAGTGAATGGGTGCCCTCAGAATGAGAGTCCAAACAGCTGATAAAAACATCACAATAATCCACACCACTCCAGTCCATCAGTTAACATTTTGTGAAGCCAAAAGCTGTGTGTTTGTAAGAAACAAATGCATCATGAAGACATTTTTAACTTTAAATCATTACTGCTGTCTAAAACACGAGTCCATAATCCATAACGCTTCCTTCGGTGAAAAAGTGGTCTGGTCTGAATCAGGAGAGAAATCTGCACAGATCAAGCACCATTTACAAGCCAAACCAGCTCTAAACAAATATGTGGCTGGATTTTGAGTTAAAATATGGTTTTAATATAGGTAAAAATGTCTTCATGATGCATTTGTGTCTTACAAACAAGCAGCTTTTGGCTTCTCCAGATGTTAACTGGTGGACTGGAGTGGTGTGGATCACTTGTGGATTATTGTGATGTGTTTATCAGCTGTTTGGACTCTCATTCTGACGGCACCCATTCACTGCAGAGGATTCATTGCTGAGCAAGTAAATTTCTCATCAAATTGTCATTTTTGGGTAAACTATTCCTTTACGGTGCACCAAGTCATATTTTCCACTGTAAAGTAGGGATGTAACGATTCACTCAACTCACGATTCGATTCGAGTCACGATTTTGATTTCACGATTCGATTCACATATGAACAAACTAAGGCTTTGTCTGTGCTCTTTCCATTTAAAATTAGAGGCAACCACTGGATTTTAATCATGATCTAAATAAAGATGCAGCATGAGCAGTTTTTTATCTAAATTAGACTGTATAATTTCGAAATTTGAAGCAAAAACAGAATGGTCTGACTTTACTTTTGTTAAACTATACTAAATAAAACATCTGAACTAAACAGCAGACGAGCTGAATGAGACGCAGATTCACTCTCTGCCAGCAGGTGGCGCTTAAAGCGTTTCCTTGGTTTCCACTGTAAACAAAGCAGTGCTGCACTTATGAACTTTAAAGGCCAATTCACACCGCACCGACAAACGCCGACAGACACGTTGGCTGCTGGATTTAGAATTTTATGAAAAATAACTGTCAGATCCAACAAACTCCGACAGACTAGTCTGTTGGCGTTTGTCAGCGTGGTGTGAATTGGCCTTAATATGCAGGGCTCCAGACTGCGACCATTTTTATTGCCTGTGCGACTAAATTTTGTGCGCGGAAAAAATACCATCGAAAGACAGTAAGTTCCCTTCAGACATACATTCATATAAACTCCTACCCCTAAATTAATCGCGATTTGTTTGGCATCTCAACCGATGTGAATCGTCACATATTTGAATCGATTTTCAACCGGCTCGCGGTTAATCGTTACATCCCTACTGTAAAGTTTTCCTCTTAAAGAAATCTTTAATTTAATAGTTAACACTTTACGATAAGGTTCTATTTGTTAACATCACTTAACTCTATTAGTTAACATGAACTAACAAAGAATAATACTTTTACAGTACATCATTTATTAATTCTAGTTTGTTCATTTCAACATTTGCTTAATACATTTTTCAAATCACAAGCTGTATCTGTAAACATTAGGTAATGCACTGTGAACTAACATGAATGAACAACCACTTTTATTGACAAAGATGAATAAATGTAAGAAATATGAAGAGTTTATTTGCAAAAACAGATAACTCTTCATATATTGCTCATGTTAGCTAATGCATTGACTATGAGACCTTACTGTAAAGTGTTACCATTTAATGTTATATTTTTATTTTGGAAAAATGATTCAGTGAGCCAAATAGCATTTTGCACACATATGAATGAAATCTGATGCATAGCCACCTGCCCAGCTCTCTCTGCAGCTCCAGCATGTACTTGTGACACTGGCTGTAATACATCGCCTGCGCTTCCACAAACTCACACAGGCAGCGCAGGTGATTCACCTGCGCAGACAGAAAATACGTCCTGTCACTTTAAAACCCATAGCATTCTGTGCAAACACAGGTTGCACTTCATTTGGTTGCATGAGGATACTAGATATTTACACAGTCTTTTGAACAATGATTTAACAATGTTTTGAAATGCTATTCTCTGAACTTCAAAGCATGCATATTGAAGGATTATTATGAAAGCCTTTAAGCCCATCCTGACAATGAGGTTTATCAGTTTGAAGTGGCTTGTATTCAAACATACGCTTCTGCTCAGGTGTGTAGCGGGTTAATGCAGCATGCACGTAAAAACGACTCACGTGCGTGCTGCTGATGCCCTCCAGGAGGAGTCTGGTGACCTCAGCCTGTCCGTCAAACTCTGTCTGAGCAACACGCAATTCATGCTCCGCCTGCATATGACCGAGAAAACAAATTCAAAATTGACACCGGCATAAGATTCATCTGCATTTAGAGTTGCATGAACATTAGGACTCTCTTAAAGGGGTCATATGATGTTGCTAAAAAGAACATTATTTTGTGTATTTGGTGTAATGAAATGTGTTTATGCTGTTTAAACACATTCTGTACATTATAGTTTCTCCTCTATGCCTCGCCTTTCTGAAACGTGTCGATTTTTACAAAGCTCATCGGTCTGAAAAGCGAGGTGTGCTCTGATTGGCCAGCTATCTAGTGCGTTGTGATTGGCCGAATACCTCAAGCGTGTGACGGAAATGTTATGCCCCTACCATACTGTTGATGCCGTGTCCTGGCCGGAGCGATGAGACAAAAACATTAAAACCCATTATAAACGAGGCATTTGTTGCATCCAGTGGGGACATAATTACGGATTGCGTTGCATCGCTCCGCGTAAACATAAAACCATGTCTGCATTTGTGATCGGAGAAATGACAAACAACAAGCCCTACTCTACACTGCTCAAAACTCGCGTTTGAATCGTCAGTGGCAAATTCTTACAGTCTGTGAGTCAGAACAGCCGGCATTGTAGTCTACTCTACCAGGATCAGGAAACAGTCCTCCATAAAATGTGCTGGACACATCTGAATATTTGGGTTGAACTGTTCTGGAACAGCGTTGTAAATACAACTTAACCACTGATTTCTAGTCGTGTCCTCTTTTGGAAGGACCAAACAAAGTAGTTTCGCTTTCACAACG